ACGGGCTGAGCAAGAACCATTCTTACCTACGCATTAAAACCACAACGATAGTTTCTCAAGTTAGTACTGTTTTAACCTTCTCAAGGACCGGGCGTAGCCACACTCGGTTCAACTAAAGTTGGAGAAACTGACACCCGCCAGCCACCTGTGTGCAAAGCATGTCGGTAGAACCAGTCTCGCGTAAGCGTACACGCAATGTCGGTCCGGGCCGCTTCATCCAACAATACCGCTGAACCAAAGTATGACATGCTGGTAAGCAGTATGACTTGTATCGCCCACAACTCACTTGTGTTCTACTCGTGCATATAACATCAACGCATAAAACCTAGGCTCGGATGCCACTGTTGGGGAACGTAGTAATTTCAAAAATTTCCTACGCACACGCAAGATCATGGTGATGCATAGCAACGAGAAGGGAGAGTGTTGTCTACGTACCCTCGTAGACCGAAAGCGGAAGCGTTAGAACAACATGGTGGATGTAGTCGTACGTTTTCACGGCCCGACCGATCAAGCACCGAAACTATGGCACCTCCGAGTTCTAGCACACGTTCAGCTCAATGACGTCCCTCAAACTCCGATCCAGCCGAGTGTCGAGGGAGAGTTCCGTCAGCACGACGGCGTGGTGACGATCTTGATGTTCTACTGTCATAGGGCTTCACCTAAGCATCGCTACAATATTATCGAGGAGGACTATGGTGGAGGGGGGCACCGCACACGGCTAAGAGATCAAGAGATCAATTGTTGTTGTGTCTATGGGGTACCCCCCCTCCTCCGTATATAAAGGAGGAGAGGAGGGGGAGAGGGTCGGCCCCTATGGCGCACCATGTAGTAGGAGTAGGAGACAAGGAAGGGGGAGAGGGAAGAGAAGGAAGGAGGGGGCGCCGCCCCTCCCCCTAGTCCAATTCGGACTAGTCATTGGGGGGGGCTGCCTCTCTCTCTCTCCCCTAAAGCCCAATAAGGCCCATATACTTCTTCCCCCGTATTCCCGTAACTCCCCGGTACTCCGAAAAATACCCGAATCACTCGGAACCTTTTCGAAGTCTGAATATAGTCGTCCAATATATCAATCTTTACGTCTCAACCATTTCGAGACTCCTCGTCATGTCCCCGATCTCTTCTGGGACTCTGAACTCCTTTGGTACATCAAAACTCATAAACTCATAATATAACTGTCATCGAAACCTTAAGCGTGCGGACCCTACGGGTTCGAGAACAATGTAGACATGACCGAAACATGTTTCCGGTCAATAACCAAAAGCGGAACCTGGATGCTCATATTGGCCCCCACATACTCTACGAAGATCTTTATCGGTCAAACCGCATAACAACATACGTTGTTCCCTCTGTCATCGGTATGTTACTTGCCCGAGATTCAGTCGTCGGTATCTCAATACCTAGTTCAATCTCGTTACCGGTAAGTCTCTTTACTCGTTATGTAATACATCATCTCGCAACTAACTCATTATTCACATTGCTTGCAAGGTTTATAGTGATGTGTATTACCGAGAGGGCCTAGAGATACCTCTCCGACAATCGGAGTGACAAATCCTAATCTCGAAATACGCCAACCCAACAAGTACCTTCGGAGACACCTGTAGAGCACCTTTATAATCACCCAGTTACGTTGTGACGTTTGGTAGCACACAAAGTGTTCCTTCGGTAAACGGGAGTTGCATAATCTCATAGTCACAGGAACATGTATAAGTCATGAAGAAAGCAGTAGCAACATACTAAACGATCAAGTGCTAAGCTAACGGAATGGGTCAAGTCAATCATATCATTCTCCTAATGATGTGATCCCGTTAATCAAATGACAACTCTTTTGTCCATGGCTAGGAAACATAACCATCTTTGATAAACGAGCTAGTCAAGTAGAGGCATACTAGTGACACTTAGTTTGTCTATGTATTCACACATGTATCATGTTTCCGGTTAATACAATTCTAGCATGAATAATAAACATTTATCATGAAATAAGGAAATAAATAATAACTTTATTATTGCCTCTAGGGCATATTTCCTTCAAGGAGGTGCTTCGATTGAATAAAATGGGTAAAGGGATGAACTTCACCCGGTGATGCTCGTTTGTCGGGGTTCTTCTCAGTCTGGGAGACCCACCAGTGCACATCACGTCGCCATTGTTGCACCACGGGCAGTGGATGAGAGGAAGAGGAACCTGCTTCTAGATGTTGGGTGCGAGTGACTGGGAGGAGGAGGAGGAGGTGGGTGCGAGTGACTGGGAGGAGGAGGAGGAGGAGGAGGAGGAGGAGGAGGCACACATGTCGCCGGATCTACTAGGTCGCCGCAGTTTAGATCGGGATGGAGCAGAAAAAGGGAGGAACGGAATGAGCTGTGAGGAAGAGGAACAGTGTGAGGCAGATGGAAATATCAATGACCACAACGTCCATAAATGAGAACAGTGGGTGGGATAGCTTCTTCCTCCATGGTGGGACCATAGCTCGTACGGAAGTACATGCATATACGAGAAATTTTGTTTCAGCTGCTTCAGGGATACACACCTTTAATACATCGCATTTAACACAAGTGATCCGAATCTATATGCGGTGCAACGGTGGTGATGTGGGTGGGTGGAGCACCTAGTGCTCCTGTGTAATTTCCGTTTTCCTAGCCCCTTTACCTTTGGCTTTGGTGGTAATTATGTTATAAATGCCACCGCAGACCCTACCTATCTCTCCCTTCGCGCCCCTCCTTCTGAAAGATGGCGTTTTCACCAGCTTATAGTCATGTCCATAGCTAAATCTGTTGAAATTAAAGCCCAAACAAACATGGCCCATATGCACTTCAAGGTGCAGCGGGACACACAACACAACATGCTTCGTAAGTTGCTTCATTCTTCTAACCTATTACCCTGTCCTGGTTTATTAGTCCCCCTTGTATTTCGGGTTATAATTTGACCATGATTTTAACTAATAAAATATAAGTACATGGCAAAAATAATATCGCCAGAAACTATTTTCAAATACGAATGCAACGAAATACATTTTCGTGACATGCATTAACATTTTGTTAGTTAAATCTATGATTAAAATTTGGCGCAAAATTCAATGGGGACCAATAAACCAGGACGAAGGTAGTACAATGGAAGCAGGGTGATTCTCCGTAGACCATTATAACTCCTTGAAGACGAGGGCAGAGGTTTGGTGGATGCCATCACCATGCTCTGTATGCACATGCCATATCATCCCACAAACAGCGCACCAATCTGGTAAACGCTCGTATTTGACTGTAAATCTGCCTCTTACTATTTCTCAAGGGCTCTCCAACATCTAACAACACTATGTCAGTAGAAGGCGTTTAGTAGTAACAAACTCACCAACCTTTGTAGTCAGAGATGTCACCATTGAGTCATCGTCATCGGGTAGATGATGTATCTGAATCCAAATTTTAAACACGTTCAATTCAAACAATGATGTCTCAGAGAAGCCATCATACAGAGCTAAAAGAACCGGATTCCCTCAGAAGGTCAAAGTCCCTCCTTCCATCACCTTATCCCAATCACCAAGGCACATGAGCTGCGCCTAAACAACTTGCTACCCAGCGATCTGAATTTGACATCCTTTGACAGACCCCACGTTGTTCTCATTTTCTTGAAGAACCAGTATTCACTAAAACCATTCTCCATATGCAACCGAACAATCGCTAACCAGCGGGTTGCCTCCCCTAGCGACTATTCTTCCTTCTCAAACACAACATCATCAAGATCTTCCTCTCTAATCCCAAGTTTCTTCATCATCCCTTTCAAGTCATCCTTGCTCTTGGCACCTGATCCAGATGCACTAGGCGCTATGTTGAAAACCCCTGGACTACGTTACAGATTATGGGAGTTACCCCTACCGCTTGTCCCTCCCCACTAGCGATCCACCAAGGGGCCCAAATCGCTGTTTTGACCCTGTGTGCTAACTTTAACACAAAATGAACATTCCTGGAAACTTTAGCACAATCTGAGTTTTTTTTAAATGCCAAAGTGCCTACCTGGCGTTGCTGGTCACTACGAAACACCATAGTTCATGGCGTTTCATCTTTGTGCAACGCCATAGGGGTTGGCGTTTCTCCCCTGTAGTGGTGGCTGATGCTAGCTCAAGGGCAGAACCGCCAAAGTCACCTGTGTTGCATAGTGTAGCAGAAACACCATGATATTGTGCATTTTTAGAAAGGGTCAAATCATGCTAAAGTTTCCAGCGGGGTTCATTTTGTGCTAAAGTTACTAAAAAGGTTAAAACAGTGATTTTGTCCGCACCAAGGCCGGGAAGCAGCTTAGGGCTGCCCCTTAATCAGCCCGAGCAGAGATAGCCTGTGGGGAAGATTGATTGGAGGGAGTCAAGGACTCAACACCGTGGTGGCGCGAGGATCAAAACTCTACCAGGAGGGAAAAGGTTGGCTCTTTATTATTATTTGATGTTAATACAGGTTAGTGAATTCATTTTCAATATATATTTTCAGAATCAGTTACTAATTGCAACCTAGGTGTTGTGACTCTTTATTATGTATTGATTGTACTCCCTTTGTCCCATAATATAAGACGTTTTTTGACATTAGTGTAATGTTAAAAAACGTCCTATATTATGGAACGGGGGGAGTAGTTTCTAATGAGAAGAGAGCAATTTTGGGAAGGAAAATGTTCCAACAGTGGACATTATATATATAAGGACTTGCAAACTATGCATAGACCTACATCAAACTATTCACCAAACAAAAACTGTCACTCAATCAACCTCTTTGCTGCACTCCATATTTTATTTCTTTAACAAAATGAGCACCAAAAAATTAAAACGGGCTCTCCTATGGGCGCAGCGTGCCGGCACGCTTTTCAGCGCTAGTTCTTCTCAAAACTGCACCGGAATACGCAACAAAATAGGCTTCGTACGTTGCTTCATTCTTCTCAGCTACAACGGAAGCAGGGGTTATTCACCGTGGATCATTATAAGATCCTTATTACTCCCAAGCATCATCGTCCAACACCTCTTGATCGCGTCTCCTCTTCATGGAACAGGGCAGGCCGAAATGCCCCAGATCTCCTTGGCGTACTGGTCGATGGTGCGGTCGCTGCTGAATTTGCCGCTTCCAGCCGTGTTCAAGATAGACATCTTGATCCATTTCTTCTTGTCCCTGTCATGAAAACATGAGTTAAACATTCAGCAAATCCCTGACATGATATTTAGTTCTAGAATTAAAACTATCGACCCAATAGAAAGGAATATTGTGTTTGTATCCTTACTTGTAGGCTTCATCAACCCGGGCCTGTGCATCAATGTAGCTTGGGAAGTCATAGCCAACAAGGAAGTAATCGCCACGCCCAAATCCAGTGTTGCCTTCAAGGGAATCCAAGAGAGGAGTGTAGTCGTAAGTGCCGAAAGCACCACTCCTGATAAACTGCTTGGCTTCTTCAAAGCGTGGGTCTGGCTTGAACTGCTCATAGTGTAACAAAGAAGTCAATAGCTCATCTGATAGTGAGAATAACGCGCAATCCACTGGGAAAATATCTTACCAAGCCATTTTCCCTTTCCTTCCTCAGACCAGCAATCTGATCTGCTTTGGCACCGAAAAGGAAGAAGTTGTCTTGCCCTACTTCTTCTCTGATTTCAACATTGGCTCCATCGAGAGTTCCAATGATAACACAGCCATTCAGAGAGAACTTCATGTTACTTGTTCCACTTGCTTCCATGCCTGCAGTACTGATGTGCTGTGACAGTTCACTGCCAGGGATGAGCACTTCAGCCACTGATACGTTGTAGTTTGGAATGAACACCACCTGGAGGAACAAGAACCTCATATTAAATCATAAAACACAATCGAATTTTCATTTAATATTTCATTAATGTTCATTCCACAAGAATTATATACATATATATTTGGATTGGATGGCAATTGCCAAAGAAGATGTGGATGCTGTACAATCGATACCTTCAGATATTTGTTGACGTCAGCATCGTTGTTCACCACAGCACCAACATCATTTACCAGTTTCACTATTCTTTTAGCATTGGTGTATGTTGCAAATGCTTTCCCTCCTACCATGACAGTGCGTGGTGTGACCTTCTGCCTCTCTTCTGCTTTCATTTCCTAACATGATACGAGCCTATTTCAGGACGACTGAATATTTTCCATCTAAAGGACACATAGGAAAGCTATAAGAATAGGAGTAATTCCAGAAAGAAACCAAACCTTTAACTTCTTGTATCTGTACACAGCTCCCAAAATGTTCAACAGCTGTCTCTTGTATTCGTGGATGCGTTTAATTTGAATATCGAAAAGGCTATTTGGGTCAATTGTAACACCAGTCACATCCAATACATGCTTGGCTAGGCGCTTTTTGCTGGCCAGCTTGGCTGCTGCCCACTCAGCATGTAGTTTTTCATCATCTGCGAACTGTTAAAAAATTCAGTTATACTGTGATAGTGTGATGGGCAATAACAAAAAAGAGATGGAAGATTAGAAGCATGCACACATACTTTCCGAAGACCGGTGAGAAGATCAAGGTTGCTTGTCCACTGATCTGTTTTTAGCCATTTCGTGACTATTTCACTCAGCTCAGGGTTGCAAAAACGGAGCCATCTGCGGGGTGTAATTCCATTAGTTTTGTTCTGGAATTTGTTAGGCCAAATAGAGAGATAATCTGCAAACAGCTCTTGTTTCAAGATGTTGCTGTGCAACTCGGCCACTCCATTCACCTGTCAGAAGAATTTAGTAAACTTCATTATGGTGCACCTTATATGATAAAGGAAAGCAAATCGATGCTGGAGTAGCACAAAAAAGTTCAGAACAGAGAGCTCCAGAACTAATTGAAACGCCCATGAATTACATTTTAATAAAAAATCTTAGCAAGTACAATAATGGGAATCCAAGCACCGTTTATCAGAGAATGAGTAGGATATACTCCTAGTAAACTGCAAAATACATAAATAAAGTAATCATGGTCCAGTAGGAGGATATTCACTATGCCTTTATTATCTTAAAAAGAAAGACAATGTAAAATGGTCCAGTAAGAGTATAGAGACAAAACTACTGTGTAACGGGCTGTAGAACATGAAAAATGAAATAACAGGATGTAGAACATGGCAATGAAATAAGAATACCGTATGTCCAGCCACAACACACAAATTCGCCATCCGCACTACTGGCTTCTCGGGATTGTTATCTAAAACCCTCATCGATTCGATCTTTCCCTCCATATCCTTCCGGGTGGAGATTACCATTTCTCTAAACTGCAAGCAAATGGCACAAGTTTGTTATCTTGTGCCATAACTGTTGTGTACCAAAAGAGTAAATGCGGCTTGACAGTTACCCGCTTGTCAATTTCCTCAATGATTTCCATGTGACGTGGAAGCAATTTCCTCATTACAGCCTGTGACCATTTCTCGAGAGCTTCAGGAAGAACTGTGTGATTGGTGTAAGCAACCGTCCTGGACCATGAGACAGATTTGTAAATAAGTATGTAAAGGTAATAATGCAAATTTAATATTGGTGAAAATCTCACTTATTTGTGACTGCCCAGGCTTCGTCCCAACCAAGTCCCTCCACGTCCATAAGCAACCTCATTAGCTCGGGGATGGCAAGAGTTGGGTGAGTGTCATTCATTTGAACAGCAACTTTGGAAGGGAACTCACTCCACTTCCCTGAAACTCTGTCAGCTTTTCTTTCTTTAAATCTGAAAATAATATCCTGGAAAAAATCATAGTCAGTTATGCTTGTCAATATTTATCGTGGAGGACCGATAATTCAAATGTAATGGGACTGAAAAGTCTGGTCATGATAATAATAATAGTGATACAAGTTTTCTTAAACAAAACTTGATCTTGCATTTTTCTCATGCTAGGTGGTGGAAATTTGATGCAGCGCGCAACAATACAAGGAGGCTGTAAGAATACTGTTGCAAGTATCTCTTAACATCATTTCTCAAATAAACATAAAAGCACAAGCTGGACATCAGTGCAGCTTCCTATCATAGTAACCATTATAATTACCTGAAGTGATGCGCTGCAAAGGAAATACTGCTGCTTTAATCTCAGAAGCTTTCCTTCTTCTGTAGCATCACCAGGATAGAGAACAGCACATATCTACAGGATATAAAATATATTTTTAATCAAGCGCTAATTGCCTAATTCATAAATGACGAAATCAGAGCAAAAAGATACAATAGTTACTTCTGGTTTAGATATAGGCATTGATAACAGATAACAGATAGAAAGCACACATAATTTTCAACTTATTATCTAATATGGATTAACACCTCACTTATCAGTCAGAGCTAAAAATCATATTAAAACCACAATAGATAACCTTTTAGCGTTATTTTTTATCGAGTTGTTTGATGAGATGGTTAGTGCGTGGAAAGCTATAGAAAAACATGGTTATCACATAGGGCAGGTTATATTGGACGTGTTTCCTTTAAATAAAAGATTAAATTACTGGTTTTAGTATGTGATGCCATCGATCAGGAGCAGTATTCACAAAGTGGAAGGCTCTCTCATTTAGTCTCGGCTAATGTATCCCATACAAGTAATTGAGTGAATCAGTTTAGGACTTGCATATCACCTGCTGTGCCCTCGAGTGAAGTTGAGCAGCTGACTCATACTGGCCATCATTGAACTGAAATAAGTTGAAATCCTCAGCAGTAGCTGTTGCATCCCAAAGGCGAAGACTGATTGCATTTTTTGTCTTGTACCCAGGAATTGGCACATCATAGGCTAAAGCATTCAGAACTTCTCCTCCGGCCCATTTCCGCCTATCACGTGATAAAGCAAACAAATGTATCAATTAGAGGAACACAAAAAGGCCTTGGCATAAACACCAATAAAATGAATAAATTACGAGTCTGTGATAATGGATCCAGTCTAATGTACAAGAGCTCTGATTAAAGCATCACCAAATCTAGTTTTTTTATCCAGTCTGATGTACAACAACTCTCCTTAAAGCATGCCAAATGTAGTTTCATGCAATCATGCATGAACATTCATTCATACACGCTCAACCAAATTTTTTGGACAAAAAAATATATTCAAAGCATCTGATCAAACAAGCATGGAGTACAGAAGATCCTAGATATGTAAATTAAAACACGGAAAAGAAATGCAGTTAAAGAAGCATCATACTATCGTTTTGAATTATAAAAAACTCCATCTGAAGCTATTAATCAATATTTTATCACAATAGCACTTGTCCAGGTGTCCATCTATCGCTTACTTTCCATCTGGCGAAATCTCGACATGGCCGAAAAATCTGATTGGGTATACGACGTCATGCCTGACAATCTCCCATGGGCTAAACTTCTGAAAAATATTAAACAGCAAAGCTATTATCGAGATCTATATATAAAAAAAGGTTTATGAAGAATGTTATGAGCATATAGAAATGGTACATCAAGCCAGTCTTCAGCGATTTCTTCTTGGCCCTCCTTGGCAATGCGCTGCTTGAACAGGCCATATCGGTAACGAAGGCCATAGCCCCAAGAAGGCAAGTTCAGTGTTGCCATTGAATCCAAAAAGCAAGATGCAAGCCTGCCCAAGCCACCATTTCCCAGAGCCGCATCTCTCTCCTGAATTCAAAAAAAAAAAATCACACCATCAATTACTGGTGAAAAGAGGCTCCAGATGTTTCAGTCAAAAGCTTTATTCGCTGACCTGCCCAGCAATGGCCTCGAGCTCGTAGCCGAACTTCTTCAGGGCGTCAGCGTAGGCGCCGGTGATGGCGAGGTTGCCGACGGCGTTGGTGAGCGCGCGGCCCTGCAGGTACTCCATGGACAGGTAGTAGGTCTGCTTGGGATCCGTCTTGTGGAAATGCAGGTACGTGTCGTTCCATCTCTGCACAAACGCACACAAAAACACCGATCACATTCACATCCCGGCGACGACAGACGCGAGAAGCGAGCAGCTCTTATGGAGGGGACGGGTGGCGCGCGCGCACCTGGAGGAGGTGGTCGCGGACGCTCTCGGCGGTGGCGTAGAAGGCCTGCTCGGGGCCGAATGCGAGCGGCGAGAAGTGGGGGCTGTACTGCGCGTGGTAGGAGATGTTGCCGGCGATGGCGGAGGGATCCTCCGACGCCGGGCTGGCCGCCGGCTTCACCTTGTCCGCGGCGCTCATCGTGGGGTGGGAGATGGCGGTGTGTGTGGGGGAGGTGGTGAGTTCGGGGCGGGCACCGAATGGGGACGGTAAGAACTCTGTGAGCCGGGGGCTCCTTTTGTAATGGGGGTGGGGAGAGCAACGGATCCGAAAATTTTGGGCGACAGAGAGAATTCTGGGGAAGCTCAAGAGAGTTTTTTCTTCAGTTTAGAGTAAGTGGTAGAGGACCAAAAGCAGGAGAAAATGAAGGGCGCGTCGGTTGTTTTCTGGGCACCCCTTTGATAGTTTCTTTGGCTCCTTGTTTTACGAGATTGTTTTCCTTTTTGTTGTGAAAAATAGTGGGTTTTATTTGAGTGGGGCGTTTTGGTGACCCGGTTCCATGGAGCCCGAAAATAAAATAAAATTCAAACTTTTCAGTTTAAAAAACCTGAAAAATACATGCAAGTATACAAGGATGAAATATATACGTGCATAAAAATTCAGGATGAAATACCTTGAAATGTGACCTGTAAAAAAACAAATTCATGAACTTTGAGGATGAATAGTATCATGTGTTGAAAAACCCCTTGCACAACCCTCATTTCAACGTATTTCATCCTCAAAATTTACACACATGTACATTATGCCTCCATGTATAACTGTGTTTTTTTAGAATTTTTTAAAATGTTAAAATATGCATTTTATGAATTTGCAAATGGAGGCCTCTATGGAGCTCTTCCTTCAAAAGCAATTTTCGGTTTCGGTTTTATTCCTCAATAATAGATGTCATGCAAGTTCTTATTATAAGCACGTATGACTATATACGTATTACATGCCTACATTATATTGATGAATTGTAGCTATTGTGTATCGCTCTAGGTTGTGAATGTTATATGATGAACGTCATCTAACACAAATGTCCATCACTGATTCAATGCCTATGCTTTGTTCATATTGATCTTTGCTAAGTTACTACTATTGTTGTTGTTGTTACAATCACTACAAAGTTGTTACTGTTACTATCACTGTTACTATTGCTACAATTACCACTGTTACCACTGCTATCAAACCATCATACTACTATGCTACTAACACTTCGCTGCACATATATGCTGCATAAAATAAAATTCAAACTTTTCGGTTTAAACTTCTTCGCTGCACATATTTAGTTCTTCAGGCCTGCTACCAGTCTTCCCCTCCAGAGGCCACCCCGGTGTATTGCACCATCATTTACTAGGTTTAGGCCACCGTGGAGGTGTAATACATACGTCATGTTGTGTTCTTGTTATCTGATGTATGATCTTTTATAGGATGATGAACTATATCTCTTTGCCTCTAAGTACTAGGTGTTCTATCTATGATCTAGCTAGTCTTCTATCATTCAAGGTTTCCATGCCTATAGATGGCCTCAGTCCTCTGATACGTCTCCAACATATCTATAATTTTTTATTGTTCCATGATATTATAGTATCAATTTTGAATGTTTTATATACACTTATAAGCAATTTTATATATCATTTTTTGGGACTAACCTATTAACTTAGTGCCCAGTGCCAGTTGTTGTTTTTTTGCTTGGTTTTGGTTTTTCAGAATATCAGTACCAAACGAAGTCCAAATGCCATAAAACTTTTTGGAGATTTTTTTCTAGACATAAGAGACACTGGAAGCTTTGGGAGGGGGCAAGAAGATGGAGCAGTGGCCCACGAGGCACCAGGGCATGCCCAGGGGGTAGGGTGCATCCTGATGGCTTGCGGGGCCCACGTAGCTCCGTTTGACCTAACTCCGCCTCTATAAATTCTCTAAAACCAGGAAACCAACAGAGGAGTCCACGAAATAATTTTTCCGTCGTCGCAAGTTCCTATTCTCGAGAGATCCCATCTAGAGGCCTTTTCCGGCACTCTATCAAAGGGGGATTCGAGCACGGAGGGGCTCTACATCATCCTTGTTGCCCTTTTGATGATGCATTAGTAGTTTACCACAAACCTACCACTACAAAAAAATACACTTCCGTGATGATACATGTTTGTTACAGTAGGTCACATTTTCTGTCATGCATGTACATCCATGACGATTTTATGACAGAATCAAGATAGTCATATCTGTGCTGTCGTAGAAGTGTTTCATGACATTACCAAAATTATCTTCACGGAAGTGTTCACTTCCATGACGATAAATGGCGCGTCATGGAAGTGTTATCGTCAAGGGTAACCGACACGTGGCATCCACCGTAACAGGTCGCCGTTAAGCTACCGGGTCCGATTTTGGATCCGATAACCCGTTAACATCCCGGACCAATAGGGATTTCCCACGTGTAAAATTCTCATTGGCCGGAGGAAACACGTGTTGGCTCACCGTTAGGATAGATACCATCCACTCATTGGACAGGAGGCGCCTATGATACATCGACACGTGGCACGATCCAATAGAGGCCCATTTCGGTGAAAAAGCCGACCCGTTTGACTTGGTCAAAAGGTAACGGGCCGGCCCACGGAAAGCCTGTTAACGACCTGTTCGTATATAGCCCATTTACGACCCGCTAACTCACGACCCGTTACGGCCTATTGGAATTCAGCCCAGTAGCTTCATCTAGGCTGTCCAATTTGATTCCAGCCAGTTGTAACTTCCGGCCCATGTATGGCCCATGATGTCTTTCGGCCCATATGAGACCCTTTGTAACTCTGGGCCCATTAAAGGCCCGAGATGAAACTGGCCCATAACGAATAGTGTATCGCTTGATACCCATTAACGACCCATTATTCCGTCAGCCGTTTCCAGCCCGTGTTAACTTTCGACCTTCTAAGGGCCCATTTATTCTTGGGCTCGTTTCTAGAATTCAGTTAGTTACGGTCCAAATTCAGCCAGTGGTTACATTCGACCCGTTTGTGGCCCGTTAACCCATTGGGCTGTTTTAATAGCGTTATCAAATACAGCCTATTGACGGCCCGTTATGGCCATGAATAGTACGGCCCATGTTTGGCGAAATGTTTATACGCCCCGTAAAAGGCCCATGGATCCTACGGCCCGTAGAAGGCCAATGGATCCTACTGCCCGTAGAAGGCCCATGGATCATACGGCCCGTAGAAAGTCCATGGATCCTATGGCCCGTAGAAGGCCCATGGATCCTACGACCCGTAGAAGGCCCATGGATCCTACGGCCCGCAGGAGGCCCATGGTTACAACAGTCCGTGTGTTGCCATGGTTATTGTGTCCTAGTTACCAAAAATAGATTATTGTGGCCACTAGAAAAACGCGAAAAAAGAATTGCAGTGACTACAAGCAAACAACTAAACAAGACAATAAGGAAATAAATAAGCAAGCAACTAATGCTAGCCTATTACAACTATTAAACATATTACATCCACTGGGCATCAAAGTTCACCACCAGTGCAAATATAGGGAACAAAGCAGCATATTACATACACTGGCCGTCAAAATTGGGCACCAGTGCAAATAAACGCGGCAGCAAAACAAGTCCATAAGTGAAACAACTTCAGAAGAGCTCAAGAAACGTTATCCTGGGTATCCACCATGCTGGCAATAAGCTTAGCAAGCTTATTAGCTTTGTCCTGTTTGGCACTAAAATCCTCCAACGGTTGCTGTTGCACCAGAAAGTATGCATCTGAATGCTCCAGGGACTTCCGCAGTCCTTCCGCTTCTTGTCGCAGCACAGTTGATCGATGTCTTTCAGCTTGTAGCTGAGACTCAAGAAACTGAACTGATTCAGACAGTGAGTTTAAATAGCTTGTGCAAGCGGTAGTGGCCAGTATCTTGAACAGTAAACCAAGACAGGACTTTGGGGTTGTCTCACTGTCTTCAAGATAGTTTTCCTTAGCTGTTTTATCAGCTTTGTTGGAGACCAACAAGGATGTCTCACTATCCTGAACCTTATCTGTATTACTTCCTTTATCATTGCTTAATAAGGCACTCTTCCCCAATATTCTGCAGCATTCTAAAAGAAGAAACAAGCAAACACATAACAGGTTTAGCATGTACTAGTATATGAAACTCATTTCGGTGAACCAGTTCATTAGTAAGGTGGACAAGATTAAACTACCAAGTCTTCTATTGCCAAGTAGTACATTATAAAAGCGTCAAATAAACATATGTCTTTGTCATATGGTCACTACATTGTCTTGCCAAATCAAAATCGAGACACGGTTCAAATCATATCAGTTCAAGAGAAAGCATCACTGAAAGAATGCAAAGCGTGGGAAACTACACGACACAACAAGATTTCAGATGGGTACCACGGGTCTACATGTACAACAACACTATTGGCTGCAGACTAAGGTGTAGCCTAGTGGTGGGAAGGGGTTGATGCCTTCCCACCCACCCAGGTTCAAGGCATGGTACATGCAATTTGGGTTTGTTGCACCAATTATACTGTAGGGGGTTCCCTTACAGTCTTTCTGTCAAAAAAACAACAACACTATTGGCTCTATTGTGATGCTAGTGATGTGCATGATATGAGAAGTCAACTGTATACACAATTGAAATTGAAATCAACAGTGCCATTTATAAGAACAAACATGTTAAAGAAACATGCGTAAACATACCTGTTGTGCCATTGGAGTTTCAATTGGATCGTTCAATTTAAAAATAAGTTTGTATGAGTAAATACAGTGATACAAGAGCAAAGTTGTATGCACGATAGCAATGGAATCTTAAATGAGAACAATTGCTCTTTAGGTTTAAGCACTTGTTCTACATGAACAGAGTACAGTAAGACGCAAGCATATAATACTTAAAAAAATGAGCTCATAGACATTACCACATTCTTGGTTCGGAACCAGTACAGAACAAGGCGTTCCCAGTCATCGTCCAATAAATGTGTCTCAGGAGAACGTAAGGGAATTTGATGAGTTTCTTTGCTAGTGAAGTACGTTTTCTTCAGGTAATTCTGATACTGCCACCAAGCATTCTTGCATATAGCAGAGGTATTAGCACAGGTTACCTCATCCTGAGTTTTCAAATCGGTCCTTCTCTATAGAGAAAAATGGAAAAAATTTGCTGTATTATAACCATCATGGAGGTAGAATGTA